TCCAACAATAACAAATTAAAAGCTTCAACAGGACAAGGAGCATTGTAAACATTTCGCCAAACAATGCTATTAAAAGCATGGTAGACATCATTCCAGTTAATTCTAGATTTTAAGAATACTTGTCTAATTAGCGTAAAATCTGGCAAAAGGAAGTCCAGCTGGATCTTACATGCTATACTGCAGTGGTCGGAAGAACCTATTGGTGCGATGGAGTCTACATCAACTACCCCTCTCACATCAGTCAGCAAAAGATCCAAAAGATTGCCACTCCTGTGAGTTGCACCACGGACTAACTGCTCATTAAAATCACCTATAAATATAAAACAAGATTTAATATCATTCTCTTGAATAGAAATGTACGAAGTCAACAAACAATCATAAATACTGTCATCAGAGTTGGGACTTCTATAAAGACTAAAAATGTAAAAAATATTAAAATGACTACACTCTCGCAGCCATGTATTCTACATAGCCACTCGCCTAACCAACATAAACGACAAAATTCACCCAAGTCTAGGGCAACTAGAAGCAATCATACGGAGATAAACTTTAATTACAGCAAGGAATCAACACTTGCTTTGGGTCGACAGAAATTCTCCATCAGCTAAATGGTATAAAGAAGTCTCAATATATGCCTCCGCCTATATCCAGACACACCCCCAGAATACATAGACTACGTTCTGGGATGTTCATGGGAAATAGCAGAAAGAAACACCTGAGAATGCAAACATTGCGACGAAATTACTTAAGAACCACCAACTACTCCATCATATTTTAAAATGTCCTAAATTACATAATATCCGACCTCAACAATATGCAGACCTTGACCTAGATAACACAGTGGAAGCAACTCTAATAGCTCAAAGACTAGTCAAACAGCTATTGGACAATCAAAACCTAGATCTCATTTTTGAAAACCTACCGCCAAGGTGAACAATTATACACACTACACACACACACACACACACATACGGGTAGCCAAAGGCAAAACCCGTGCCAGAACTGCCTGGCAAATCTTAAAAAAACAAGGGTTTATTAAAATTGGGAAAAGTAACTCTGACGTGTGCCTCACGCGGCCCTGCCATCCATCCAGAGCAGTTGTGAGGAACAAGGTGTCCAAGGAATCTATTGAAGGAATCTGAACTGCCATTTGTTATTCTGTAGCTACGGGCGTCACCCACAACACAAGTGCCTTTCACTTGAACATAATCCGCAACACAGAGATTACCTTTGGTCCTCCCCCCACACCGTCCCCCGCGGGCCCCCTCCCCTTCCCCCTGCCCGCACACTCCCTCAGGCCTGAGTCACACAGGACATAAACTACATGTTTACGCAATTCTCTGACAGAGAGAAAGAGAGTGAGAGAGAGGGGGGAGGGGGGACAAGAGAGGGAGAGAGAAAGCGAACTATGTTTCCCTTCCTCCTACAACTGACAGGAACAAACAGACAGTAAAACACGAATTCAATTAACTCTTTTCACCTATTGATTGGGGCGTCAGGCAGGAGATATACACACCGTATGAGGCCAAATGCCATAGTTGATCATGACTGTAAATAGAGGACAAAAAAAAAAAAAAAAAATCCTTAGATCATCTTAAAAAACACAAGTATGGAAGGGTCTATAATCAAAGCTTTATGAATGAAAGACAAAAGATCGGAATGTGCCAATCCCAGTGCGTGACTGGGACGGGATTGGGCTGCGGGCTGCTCTAAAACACACCGATTTTTGACGCGAGAGATCTCAGACCAGGATTTATTTTTCCATTAATTACGGATCGCACTGACTGTTCCTTCACACGATTCAGGCAGTAAGACGAGTAACTGCCAACGATCACTGGAATGATTGTTCCTGAGGTTCCGACGATGCGCACACGGAGCTCACTGGCGATGGCTATTGTTCTACATATATTGATGCTACGTGAGCTGCCGAATGGCTGGGGAAGGCCTGTGTCCCTGCGTCCAACAACGGATTTTAAAATTGTAAAGATAGATAGATAGATAGAGCTGGCATCTATCGGTAGGATCCCTCTGGTCGCCGTCCCCCGCGGACTCGGGTGGGTCTGGCCCAGGAGAGGGACGGCTTCCCTCTGGAGCTTAGACGTGTAGTATTGCGCCCGCTATTTTTGTGCCAATAAAGACCGCGAAGGAATCTCCAGGGTTTGAGTACTATCAAAAGACACTGCCAGCGTACATGGCGCTTTGAGGTGAGATCAAGAACACACAGGAGTGAAGAGAAAGCGATTGTGGCGGCGACAACAAGGCGGTGCTCCCTCCGCCTCCGCCGCCAGAGAA